TGGAAATTTTCATTGTATTGGAAATTCATCTTGATGAGGCCCAGGATCAGATCTCCTGTCCATGTTACTGAGAAGTAACCATGGATGATGTGGGTCCAATATGTCTAGTTTAGGGGATGTTTTCTTTGAGGAAGATGTACCATGATGAGTAAGGCACAATCATATGTCAAATTGATATCAGCTTTTTTTAGAAGATTCTTCTATGCATATTTTATCTAAGGGTTTTTCGAAGGGCACCGGTTAAGGGTGCAATTATTGCAGCTTTTAGATATTAATTAGTATTGAAAAAAAAAAAAAGAGTTTACCTTTATTTAAGCAACTGTCTAATTAAAATGGTCCGTGTGGCACTAATGATGAAATTAATGACAGTTTTTGTATTTTTCAATAGTAATTAATGTGAGAAGGCTGCAATAATTGTACCCTTAACCTTTGCCCTTAGGGCACATGTTAGAAAAACCCTTTATCTAATTATAGCTGTACCTTAAAAGAAAAAATGGTTTGGGCCTTGTCAATTACTTACAATTGCCTACAAGCTTTTCTAATTCAATTTCAATCAACAAATAGATGATTCCTTGCTTTAGCCAAGAGAAAACAAGCAATTAAAGCAAAGAAGAAAAATAAGAGAGCAGGTATTGCAAAATGCAGTACAGGGTGCTTTGCCATGAGAAAACTGTTGCAAAATAAACTTCAATTTGGAATAAACTTTAGTTGTAGATTTTGTTGTGTTTTAATTTGTAACTTTAGTACTTGCTTTTAAGTTTTGATACCAATCATGAAATGACTCTTATTATTCTGTTTGATATATTATGTTCTTCATGCTTCCTTTGCAGGGTGATTGGCCCTGAAATGCCATCAGCTGATTTGCTTGCTGCGGCGGCCAAATTAACAGAAGCCCAAGCTGACCTCAGGTGTGTTTCTACAAGAAAAGTTTCTGAATCATGTGCTTTGTTTGGTTACTGTGATTCAGATTGCTTGAAATTTGTTTGATTTGGTCTCTGTTTTTGAACTTTCCTAGTTCATACAATTGTGAAATATATTGTCTTGTTCTTTTGTGTGAAAAAGGTGTGTAGTGTGTCTGATGACCCTTTTTATTTGTGTTTCCTGACAAATTAATCCAGAGAAGCTGAGTTGGAGGAAGATAATGAACTATTTATAGGGCCTCCACCACCTGCTGTGGTTGCTGAAGCTGAATCAGCAAATGAGGCAGAACGTTTTGAAGAGGTTGCTGATTTTGCCCCTATTGCAACTAGTTTAACTTTATAAATATTTTAATTTTTTTTTTCATATGAAATTTGAATAATGCATTAAAGTTTGAGACTTTGAGTCCCCTGAACCATTGGTTGAGGGGACAGCCCCCAATATCAGGGGCCCTTCCTCCTTCCAATGGTTTAAATTGTGCAGTCCAGACTGCACAACACTTTCTTGTTAAAGTTTTGAGTACTCTCCCAACAAATTTTCTTAGATGGTCTCTCCAAGCAATCACAAATCATATGTGCAAGCAATTACTGCTTCTAATTGCTTATCACTTATCAGCTATTTATGTTTTCTCTGCTCAGGTCACAAGAATAATGGCAGCTGATGCTGACTCTCCATATGATGTTCTAGGAGCAAACCAAAAAATGTCTGCTGATAATATAAAGAAAAGGTAAAGTTCTAAGTCATTAGTTTACTCTTGTACATTAGCACCATGAAGATTATGGGCTTCTTGCTAACTTACGTGAAAGGCAAAAAGAAAGATCAGTTGAAAAGTTCTTTTTGATTTCTTTGTCTTCTGCTGCCATAAATACCTTGTTCCTTTTCCTCTCCTTGGCAATTATTCTTCAAAATTTTGAGTTACCAGCAGCCTGTTTCTAATGACCCATGACTTCTTGGAACAAATGATAGATGGTTAACCAGTCTCAAGTGGTAAAAGAGCTGAAAGTTTTAAATTTTGCAGCCATTTTTTGTAATGAACCTGTCACTGGGGCTTACTTTTAAGTACTTACAGTCAGCTATAATAGGTCTTCCTTCCCAAAAGAACCCAGTTCCTTACTAGGAATGTATTCTTCCTCTAAATTACCTTCTCTTAGTCGCGGTCATAATTGAGGCAATAAGGAGATAGCAATGAAGCACATGCTAAAAGCTAAAACCTGGAATGAAATTATAACATGATATTTTATTTTAGGAAGCTTCTGACAACCTTTTGACGTCATTTTCTCATTGATGAACCAGATTCTCTATGATATCACTCATCAAAATTCAAAACATCCTTGAATTCCCATGACTTGGAAAGATGACAGTACTAGTAATGGGGGACTTTGTTCTTCAGTGATGCTGACAAATACCTGCTAACTGCAGAGTGAATTTATTAAAAAGAAATTATTAAGCATAACCTTAATTCTAATTGAATAGGAAACTTTCAAATATTAAATAATACTAACTAATCTTTATAAAACTAAATAGCCTAGTTAGTCCTAAATCCTAAAGTTCAAAGTACATAAAACCTTAATCAAAATTAAAAATTGAAAGCAGCATTAGTTTTTATGGCAAGGGCTTTATTCTTCCATGACTAGTAGGTTGACCAGAGTATCTTCAATGATGAAGCAATAAACAAGTGGCATTTTTGTCTTCCTAGATCCTACTCAAAACCTTTGATGTTGAGGATGGTTTGCTGTGATTCTTTTATCATGCACCATCACATGTTCATTTTATCACATGATCTACAAACACAAAAATGTACTACCTGAAATCAATAAAATGGTCAATGTTTTGTGAAATAGTATTTCATATGTTGTTCTTGTGCTGGTCTTATATATGCTGTTAATAAATAATAAGTTGTGCGTAATCTCCTTAGGTATTGGAAACTGTCTCTTTTGGTTCACCCAGACAAATGCCCTCATCCTCAGGCACACCAGGCATTTATTATACTAAATAAAGCTTTCAAGGAATTGCAAGATCCAGACAAGGTAATATTCTTTACTCAGGAAAAAGTTGTTATCTGAATTCTGACGTTAAATATGCTTAATTTCCTTCTCATTTTTCAGCATTTTTTTTTTTTTGCTAATGTTAAATTATTGTGTTTTAATAATGTAGATATAGAAGCAATTAAACCTTTCCTTTTGCAGAGAAAAGCAATGGATGATAAAATTAAACTGAAGGAGGAGCAGGAGGCATTCAAGGTTTGTGCTTGTGCAAAATTTTGGCTTGCATTTTCTTTTGCAAAGGTTAAGTAGCCTACTTATCATGCCATTTTTCCTCCTTCAACAGGCTGAGTTGCGAGCAATGCGTGAAGCTGCACAATGGAGAAGATTGCAAGGTTAGCTATTTTACATAATTGTAGAAAATCAGTGGCTCTTTTAATAGTTTGAGTTTGGTTCATTAAGACACCAGTCTGAACTTATTTGCAATTTAAAGAACCAAGTAACGTATCATCCCAATTTTATTGGATGTTCATGAGGGGACAAGAACCATCAAAGTTTGAAAATATTTTCTGATTACCTTGAACCAAGTATGGAAATAGTTTTGTGTTCGATACTGAATAAAACAATGTAATATGTCTAAATGGGTGATAAAAAGCATTTAGAATATCTCCCTTAACTGGTCCATAAAGGACCAACGGAGATATGATGCTGTCAATTAATTAGATATCATGTACTATTATTCAATGTGTGTACCCCTTAAGTTTTTCTTGGAACACAGATGACTTGGTGTTTATCTTTGAAGATGATGGTTAGCTTAGCTTATACTGATTGCAATATATTTCATGATGCTTCTGCTATTGCTCATACTGATCATCAAACTAGTGTCTGCTTGCATCATGGTTGTATATGGCTTTGCCCCTCATACTTAATGCATCCATGCAAGTGTCTGCATCATTAGCCTCATGGCTAGTTGTTTGGTATTTCATGATGTGCATGACTATGTGCACATTTCATGCCATTCAAACTCTGTAATGGTCCAGGCCTCCATTTGCTTGTTTTAGGTTATTGAGTGAGGGAAACTTGGACTCTCAACAGTTTCAGATTGGTTGTTGTTGTTTTTTCCCCTTACCATGTCAACATTACATGATCTACTAAAGAATAAATGATCTTAAAAATGAAAGCTATTATTTTGGTAGGTATATCAATGGAGGGTGATGATGAACTCCTGGCAGATACGGAAGTTAAAGCATCACCAAAAAGAGATGAATGGATGACAACACTACCTCCTGAGAGGAAAGTAAGATATTTCAATCTTATATTGTATCCCTATTCTTTTCTTTATGTTAGTTGTTGGAACAGCCTTTTTCATTTCACGGTCATTTGGGGGATCCTGTCTCATCCTGCAGTTCAGAAATCATGTGCTGCTTCAATATCTTTAAAATCTTTATTTCAAGAATAATGAACAGTGTCAGAAAATTGAGGGAATTGCTTAAAAAAGAGTTAGAAAATGATCTCAAATATTTTTCTACAGAAAAAGTTTGGGAAACCATATTGTGGAGTGTTTGAGGCTTTATTTCTAGTGTGCCATCATCCACCCCAAACTATTGCTTTATCCCTAAAGGATTAGTACTGGATGTTCAATGTTGGTTGCACTTGCAAATCTAATTTCAAGATCATAAGAGCCAATAAATAGGCAATGTCCAAGTATGACCTTGGTGACTGTAAAATGATGTTAAGCTGATGAGCAGAACTGAATTTGGAAGCAAAAATGTAGAAAAAGCTGTTCAGGGTCATTAAGCATTTTCAGGGAGGGATTCAGTTGCAGTAGTTTAAACTAAAAATGCTTTTGCAGTCCTAATCTTCTTCCTTTCTATGCTTTTCAGCCTGGTGTTACCATGCAAACAACAAAGTTTAGCAGGGGCTCCAAAGAAGGGCGTGGTGACACTAGTGTCTGGACTGATACTCCCTCAGACAGAGCCCAAAAGGCAAAGATGAAGTAAGAATTGTCCTTACATGTTAAGAATGCTTTGATTACTAGCTGTTGCTTGGTTCTGCTCATGCTTTTATTGATATATGGTTCTGACTGCCACATGACAGTTACTTGGAAGCTTATAATGAGGCTGCTGCACTTGCTTCTAATGAAGAGGAAAAGAAGAGACACAGTTCAGATGCAGATTTAGTGGATAGATACAATAAAGAAAAGAGATCAAAATCATTGGTACAGAAGCACCAAGAGAAGGCTGCAAGCCGTTCAAAGAAAAAATCCAAGCAGGAGCCAGCAGAGAAGGAAGAGTGGGTGGGGAATCATCCATGGAAGCCTTGGGATCGTGAGAAGGACCTGGTTGCTGGAAGGCAGAATATAAAGTTTGATGCTGAAAATTTGGTTCAGGGTTTGACTTCCAGGTTTTCATCTGGAAACTTTCAGAGGAACTTCCTCTAGGCTGGGGGAAGTCAATTGGTGCATATGCATTATCAAACAAAGCTAAAGCCTGTTCTTAATACCACCGGTATGTCTATCATATTTGCATGTGCAGTTTAAAGATGCTTAATCCCGCCTTTTCATTTTAAAAATTGAAGATAGAAGAACACAAAAAAAATTGAAAAGGGTGGATGTTGGAATATAAAAGTGTATCCTTTACCATCTGTTTTATTTATTTGGGAAGACCAGTCTCTGGAGCAGGTGATGGAATTTAAGATATCTTCTCATCTGGTCCCAGTTTCTTCTATCTGAATCTTCTTACAATATTGTAAGTGAAAGTGATGAGAATCTATAGTGAGCAAATCCTTCCTCAGGCCATGTCCAGGATCTTCCAACAAATGGTATACTAGTGCAGGCCCCCTTCCTTTGAACCTCGACGGATCAAGTCTCCAGTTCTGGGAAATTACAACGGATTCTTCTGCATCATATGAGCTGGTAAGTTTTTTAGAGCTATTCACGGATCAAGAGATGCCTCTCTTCAATTTCCGCACCTTACCTCTTGAATCCTACAAGATAATGGCAAACACCCTAGCCGATTACCATATTACATGCTCCAATCTGAAAGATTTTGTTGGAATTTAAGACATTTCTAGTTAAATACGATTATCATATTAAATATCCCATATTTCGTTGTGTAATAATTTGGGTTCTATATTAGTTTGACTTATAATACAAAAAAAGTGTTTTTAAGGTCAAATTGCATATTGACTTATAAACTTATTAAAATACTCTTCATGAAAACATTCCCTATGTTATTTTATTAGTAACATTTTGGTGTTTAGATTGCACAATCTCACCTTAAAAATAACTACATTATACTCTAGAAATTGGTTCAAACTTTTATTTATCTCTGTACGACTGTACCGCAAATAGAATTAAAAGTTCCATTCAATCGTATTAATTTCAGTAATATTAATTAATGACTTCTTATATATTTGCTTAGATGATACGGTCTCTCCATGAGCTCTCCCCTTCTCTCCGAGATCCGCCGCCCAAACCACCACCCCCCCACA